TGTAGCTCCCCGTCACTATTTTGAGCCTTTTTGGACAACATCTTGTCACATGAGAGAGTTTTTCTTTCATTTGGACAAACCTTAAATCATTCTGGACACATGTTTTGTTATTTTAAACACATTGTGAGTCTTTTTTTTGAGATTTTTACTTTTTTTTTTATGTCATTTTGAACAAATTTCCGGTTGCTTTGTAAAAGTGTTGCACCATTCTGGAGTAGGTTTTGTGTATCTGGACAAATTTCAAGTCATTATGGACAATATTTAGTCATTCTGTCATTTGCTCAGTTCTTTTGCTATTCAGAACAAATGTGGAGTCATTTGGAGAAGCTTGCCGTGTTGGCAGCTGATTAAATCTAATCAAAGACGAGGAACTTTTCTCTCTTTTCTAAGATTTACGGCAACACAACCGTGTCCTAGCGACAGAAACAGTTTTACTCTGCTTCGTGTTGTTCTGCTTCCACAGAGCTGCAGGACTTTATGGAGAAAAGAGGAAGAAGCTGCTTCAACACTCACTTCCTGACATGAGGTACAGCCCGTTTGGATCCACAGCGAGACTCGTGACCGAGTCCAGGTGGGCGACCATCGAGTGGATCAGTTTGCCTTCAGAGAGAAACAGAAACAGGAAACAGGTGTTGAGCTGAGTTCACGCCGACGTGCGGCTCGAGGCGGCCGAGGCGGCGCTGCCCTGCTACCTGTGTTGTTGTCGAAGAACTGGATGTGGCGGTCCTCCTGGGCGGTGATGGTGATGGGCAGCGTGGGGTGACTCAGCACTTTGTTGATCTTGCAGGGAGCGTCTGTGTGGAGAAGCACGAAACACAGAGTCAGACGGTTCAGAAATCATGTTGCTGTATCCATCCGCTGCTGAAAATAGTCCACGACGGATTGAGGCGCATCAGGAAGCTGCTGGTTTGGGGCTTTACACGGGAAAATCTAATGTAGTCGATAGTTTCTGAAAGGAATGATCCAAAGAAGAACTCTGCAGTTTAGAATCAACTCTGAAATCCACAGGTCGGGTCGGGTTTTGTCATCTGTTTGGTCTGGGTTCGTTATTTGGACAAATTTGGACGATTTTGTTATTTTAACGATGATTTCAAACCAACTGTGAGACTATCTGGTCAAACGTTGAGTTGTTTTGGACAAAGGTTCAGTCTGTTGGGTCACGTTCTGTCATCTGTGCAGACTTTTTGGACAGCCGTGCTCACAACGGTCCGCCAGGTCCGACACCGTGACATCAAAGCATGCATGTGGAGCCTCCGTGTTCTCCAGCGCTGGTAAAACCTTTGGGCGCTTAGAAAATAACTCCAGATTTTAGAAAGCTGTCTGTTTTGGGGCTTTTCATGAGTATAACGTATGAATGCTGGCCTGCTCCTTTAATACGAACGTGATCTTCTGTTCAACAGCTTTTCAAAATAGTGATTCACAAAAAAGACAAATGAAGACGTGCACAGGTCACTTCTCTCTATTTCTAGAAGCTACTACAGATATTTTGAGTCATTTTCAACTATTTCTAAAAATGACTTTAAACAAATCTTTGACAACAGTTTTATTTATTGGCCCCTCAAATTAGATAAAAGTGCAAATGTTCAACCAGGCTGGTGCTGATCCAGAAAGGTCCTGTCAGTGTCTGTCTGTGGATGGATCCATGGTTCTACTAGAATCCAGTCTCTGGTCACATTTCACCACCTGTTGAGGCTCTAACATCAGCAGAACCTGATGTGGTGAAGTTGGACCAGACAAGGTTCTGGTTTCAGACGTTTTTAACATGTACAACTACTGACATGAGTCCATTTACACCATTTTTGTGTCATTTGAGATAAACTTTGTGTCATCTTTGTCTAATTTTGAAGATTTTTTTAGCCATTTTGTGTGACTATTTTGGACTCATTTTGTCTCTTTTGTACAAATTTGTAGTTATTTCAGACACAGAACAGGTTCTAGTTGGTCCTAATGATTCAATGGCTCCAGCAGAGGATCACTTTTTTCATTATTGGCCTTTAAAAATGGCAAAAAAGTGCAAAATATTCAGTTGAAGGTGGTGATGTGTCCCTAGAAAGGTCCTGTCAGTGTCTGTCCGTGGATGGATCCATGGTTCTACTAGAATCCAGTCTCTGTTGAGGTTCTAACCTCAGGAGAACCTGATGAGTGGTCGTACCTGGCGGTCCGGCAGACTCCAGCTTCAGGACGAGCTGCTGCGTCTCCATGTTGAAGAGTCCGATGTGTCCGGTGGTGAAGGACGTCACCATGTGGGCCGGCTCGCTGCTCACCAGGTCCACCGAGGTCGGCACTCCCAGCTCTGAGGCAGAACCGGACAGCAGACACCCATCACATCCAGATATGCTCCATAAAGGCAACAGCTAGAGGCTTCCCACTGCAGGAACAACCCAAACCTCTGGGGGACTTAGTCTGACCCACCAGATGCAGGTCTCTCCTTCCATTCTTCTATCTACGTTTAAAGAATCCCCTCACTAATGGAAACAACAGCACCCTGTGAGCAGCAGCTGGACATGAAAAGTTCTGGAGAGGACCTGGACCTGCAGTAAGGGTTAGCCTGCTAGCATTCATTCTGTTCACATGCTTGGCATGGACACATTTTGAGTCATTATGTAAAAAAAAAACTATAATTATTACAAATAATTTTCAAATCCTGTGGTTGTCACCTGCAGGAGATCCTTCATCTTCTGCTGCTTTGAAATGGGAAAGTCTGAGGAGCTCAGCAAAGATCTGGAGAAGAACATCAGTGA